ATTTTAATGCATCCTAGGCATCGTAATTTGACAATGAAAGAGAATTCTTAGCCTTTCTACTGTTTTTAGGAAAGAGGTTTCTATGATAGAAAGGGCACAGATCCACTTCTGGAATGGACTTTGGTTTAAGAGAGGACACATAACATATCTCAACAGGATGTGCGGCTGGTGTAAATCACTAAACACTCATTTTCACCACCTGAGCATTCCCAGCACCAGCTTTTTGGCTCCCGATCGGCTCTTTTACTAGTCAGCCAGAAATACACTAAGTCCAGCTTGCAGGCTGAGGGTAATTTCAGGTAGAGGAACAGCAAAGCTCTTTTCATTTAATTGCTTTCTGTTATCGTACCATTCTTCTTGTGACAGTCTGATGCAACACACAGCTTGAACCTCCAAGAAGAAACGGAAATCATTAAAGAACGTAATACCACCGTGTCAGCTAGGGCTTACAGTACCCATGGGTCTGGCAGAACTTTCATCATTTATCCAGGTTGTCGTGTGCATGTATTGGCAATATAAATTAATGCCATGTTGAAACTGCTGTACAAAGTGTCACTCTACAGCAGAAATTTAGTCCTTTGTATTTGGTTTGTACTGCCTTTTTAAAATTTTAATGTAAAACTGCAGAGATCTCTCTCACTCTCACACACCCACATACACATATCAGAGCTGCTTGTAAGGCTCATTCAAAGACCAAAGCGTCAGCTTGCCCTACCAACACTTCTAGGATTAGTTCATCACGTGGCAAAAGGTCATTTCAGAATAAGCAGCTGACAGAAATTCAAGTTTGCCTTCATTTTGCTGTTGTTTAGTTGCTCAGGTATATCCAAAATCCCCTGTTTGGACCCAGTTACCATTTGCTGTGTGTCTGGGGTGGGTATTTGAGGGGAGAGATGCACGAAAGAGGAGTTGTTTTTTTTGGCTCTGTAGGCAATGGTTCTGTTTGCAAGCACAATTTCTACGGCAGGGGCTTGCATCTCACACCTGGGATCTGAAATGGCAGCAAACACATGCTACCTGGATCGGTGGCTCCAGACCACAAACTGCTGCTCTGGGGGGTGGTTGGGCTGTGGAAAGAAGAAGGCAAAACTAAACTCCTCCTGCACCTCTGCAAGGTGGTATGGCAGAGACATTCTTTTGTGGTCTCTCATGTAGGTTGTCCTGTTATAAGGAGTCTGTGGAGAAATAAACAGGGGTAATATAATCTGCGTGTGGCACACCTAACCATTCTCAATGTTTTAAGTTATCACTCAGTGAAACACAGAATGTAATTAAGATATATTTAACTATATTTGTTTCCTCAATATTAGCAGTACACTTTCAGGAAAACATTGAAAGAGGAGAATAAGAGGCTGGTGAAGGGTCTAGAGCAAGTCCTATGAGGAGTGGCTGAGAGAACCGGAGTTGTTTAGCCTGCAGAAGAGGAGGCTGAAGGGAGACCTTATTGCTCTCTACAACTACCTGAAAGGAGGCTGTAGTGAGGTGGGTGTTGGTCTCTTTTCCCAAGTAACGAGTAAAAGGACAAGAGGAAACAGCTTCATGTTGCGCCAGGGGAGGTTTAGATTGCATATCAGGAAAAAATTTCTTCACTGAAACAGTTGTCAAGCACTGGAACAGGCTGCCCAGGGAAGTGGTGGAGTCACCATCCCTGGAGGTATTTAAAAGCCGTGTAAATGTGGTGCTTAGGGACATGGTTTAGTGGTGGACTTGGCAGTGTTAGGTTTATGGTTGGACTTGATGATCTTAAGTGTTTTTTCCAACCTAAATGATTCTATGATTCTAAGAAAGAAATAGCTTTCTAGCAAAGTGCTTTTCTTTGAAACACCAAGACTTCAGCTTCCTTGTCCAAAGCTATAGGCAAGGGAATCCTCAGAGTCCTCCTGGTGCTGGAGCAGAGCTTCTCCGCTGCCTGCCCGGAGTGATTCTCATCCAACACACTTGGCTCCCCTAGCGCTCTACCACTGCCTTCCTCAGAGGTGCCACAGTGACATCCAGCTAACAAAGGCTCTTATACGGAACAGAAACGCATCTCCCTGCTGTTAAATGACATGAGAAACGGCTTTCCTACAAGAAACTGTCATTTAGGAATCAAGTGGCTCAAATGCTCCATTAGGACACACAAAAAGGATGTTCCATGCATAATGAAAAAAGGAAAGTATCATATTTTGTATCACGCAAGGACTGAGCACCCTAATTGGCCAGGACACATGCCCAGAATAATAATTCTCCCTCCCGCTGGCTCCACAAAGCACTGTGCCACTGCTGTGCGGCTCTTTAATGCAGTAACTGGTTACAGCAATCGCTGACGCTGGAAACACGCCAAAGCACAGTGGTGGAGCCGCTGCTCGTCATGTGTAATTATTAGAGCACTTGATAATTCCACACAGTTTAGCAGAAAGCTGTGCACTGCTTTATCTGTAAAACACTGGAACTCAAAAAGCTGGTTCTTAACTGCCACGCACCTAGAAGTCTGAATGTCAAATACTACGGGGAAAAAAACCATTTTAACAGAAACAGGCAGTGATCAAAATAATTTTTTTTCTTTTACCTCTCCAAATTCCTCATAGATCTGTTCAATATAAGTCGTCCCTTTTCCTCCCGGAGAGACCTCTCCATGGATCTCTGACTGATCGCTCTCGCTTTCATTTGTCTTCCGGCTGTTCTCATGCATTTCATTCTCCGACTCTTCTACATTGTCTCTCTCAGACTTGTCCGAAAAAGCATCATTTTCCAAATGGTGGTGGTTCTCCAGGCCTGATTCATTCAAACTGCAACACACAGTTCATTACTTGCTTCAATTTGATTTACAAAGCCAGATTACTTAAGGCCTTTTAGATAAGGTAAAAACACCCCTCAGGAATCAAAACAGGGTATGCAGCCCAGGGGAGTGCAAGACATTGATTTCCTGACTAGCAGGGTTTTTATCACGGAAACAGTGAGATATTTTGCATCAAAATTCTCTCCTCCAACCTGCACTTTGCAAAATCTGCCACATAGCTCCGCTTACCCATCCTTACGCAGAACTGCTGCTGGCTCCTGATGGGAGCCCACATACTGCAGGGATACAGAGCACACACTAACAACTCTACACTGCTGATTAGAGAACTGAAGTGCCAATCAGGAGAGATTTTTCCCTTTACAGAAGCAAATCAGTGGATTGTAGCATGTGAGAAAAATATGACATTATGGGATAAATTTTCTTTTCAGTACTACTGCCACTTTATTTCAACACATGGTGGTCCTACGTCAGCCTTACACTAGAAAAGGCAAATAAAAAAATTCAATAGAAGCAAGTATTTTCACACACACACATACACCCTCCCCCCCCAAACTAACCTGGGGAACGTGCTTCCCCCAGATGACGCTGTGTGGAAGAAATGAGTTGAAGGCATAGACTGCACGATTACATATGAGAAGAATATCCAGATTATAACAGTATCCCAGGCAAAGCATGGAAGGTGTAGCAAGCTTTGTTATGTTCAGTGATCCAGGCTTTAGGGAAGGAGGAGAAAGCCAAAAATTCTCTCTCATGTAGCCTATAGCACCTCCCTTCCAAAAAGCAGATGCAGTTCATACAACAGGTGGCAAACATGATTAGATGGGTCACAGGTCAGATGCTGAAAAGTATTCACTAAATGCCCGTTTTTTCAAGCGATATTTAGCAGGGGCTTCAGTGTTCCTTGTTCATACATGTCTCCACACACACAGCACCTCTTCCATGGCCTAGCCTAGTTCTCAGGTGCTGACGTTCTCAGCTTGACCTTCCTCTGGAAATTTCTTACCCAAGTTCTCATGCAAAATTGCTCTTGGATAGAGCAGTAAGAAAAGATTCCCAGCTACACAAGGAGTTTCAGAGGGTCTAATTAGGCCCTGGCTCTTGAAGAATTTTGTTACTTCCTGTAGTCCATCTCTTTCTCAAAGCAGGATTTCCCTCCTCAGTACACGGGAATGTTCTGTCAAGCTTGAAGCCTCTCCATGATGGGCCTTTTCTCAGGCCCTCCTGGGCATATTCTAATTTTGATTATAGATGAATGCTGAAAGTTTCCATCCTTTGTTCTCCCTCTCCTTTTTTCTTTTTCAAAAAGATAATTAGGCATTGCTGCTTAGAGCCAGATTAAAAAAAAAAAAAACAACAAACCAAACAGAAGAGTCAGAACACAGAACTGGCACAGGCTTTTCAGAAGATCTCAACTTCCAATTATGCTGAAATAAGCTCATGATTTTTAACATGCCAAGCAAGCCACATTGTGATAGTCACAGCTCGGTTGCTGGAAAGGCTCAGTTTCCAGAGTTCTTTTGGAAGTGTCGTCTACAGCTTTCTGTGCCTTTAGAAAATCTTTCTTTTAACTCCATTTGTATAGATACGTATGTATGCATGTATGTCTCTGTGTGTATAGACATAAACTACAAGGTTTTCTAATTTATGGTTTTACTGTAAAATAAAACTAAGAGCATAAATCAATACAACTAAGAGCATAGACTACTACACTACAGCACTAATAATTCACTATTAGACATCATGTGTCTTCATCATGCCAGTGCCAGGATGTTACTTCTGTTTTTAGCTAGCAACCAGCCAGTGTAATGGCTGACAACCAAACACACTGGAAGCATAGGTTATAGCACATGTATGAGTTTGAGATAATAAAGGAGAAAAAAGGTGAGGAGAGCACTGTCTAGAGAGACTATCCCATGGTTCCTCAGCACAGATACTTCCTGGATGGTAGGTGCAGGAAGTTAATAGTTATTAATTGCTGATCATTTAAACACATAATTTATTTCTTAATTTTTCAATGATCAGCTAAGTATGCGTTTGTCTGTGGTTGCTATGCTCCCTTATCTAGTGAAAGTTTTCTCCATGGGGTAAAAATGCTTGGAAGAACAGTTTGTTTTAGGCTTATGGTTCATGGCTGAGAAGTAGCACTTGTTTCTATTTCGCATTTATAAGAAGAACAAGTGTTTTTCAGCATCACCTGCCTCATGTTTGGGAAATATTTGAAGTTTCAGTGGAGCAAATGACTCTTTTCTTAGTTTCCTCTGCTCCCTCAGCCCCTTATTTGTTAAGGATTTCAGATTTAGTCCAAGAGGGAATTAAATTCACATGAAATTCCACTCAACTGCGCACTGATTACCCACCAGCCACAAAAAAAGGCAAGACTTAACACATCCAAAGCCAAGGAGCCGCTCTGGAGAACCACAAAGAAAACAGATGCTCCTCTTTCTAAGGAACAAATTTGAGATGTTGAAGTCTGTTCCTCTGAACAGAATCACCACAGAATATGTACAATATGCTAAAAACAAAAGCCACGTTACGAGCTTGAACTAAAATCAATATAACGACTTCACAGGGGCTTCCAGTGGGATTTAGATCAGGCTTTAAAAGCTGGGAGGGAATAACTATGCTAAAAGTCAACACTGGATTTCCACCATGAACATAAATAACTTGGCATTTTTCACAGCTAATTTACTGTTTCAGCATATTGGAGCTGTCTTATACCAGTGCTTTATTCTCTAGGGGCATTCCTGGAAACTTCAGTCAGTGACCAGGACTTCTGTGGGTTTGATACTGCTCTTCTACACAAAGCTAAAAAAACGTTTGGCTCTTGTCAAACAAGTAAATGAGCCAGATTCCTGGGGTTGCTGGAGATAAGACATGGAAGCCACAAGAAATATAACTTCATATTAAAAAGAAGAGTGCCTGGTGCCCTAGAGGCCTCTTGTCTAAAATCACAGATTTACACAGTACTTCAGCCTTTGATTGACTTGCACAGTTCTCTCCCTCTCATTTTTACACATTACTAAAGACATGGATTTTAAAATCACTGTATAATCTTGACTTCTTTCCCAGCAGGAAAGGAGCAAAGCAGCCAGCAGACAAACATAACTTTGGCTCAACGGAAGATTCGCCTTTGCCAACTCCCTTGGGTTTTGTTCTCCCTATAATATCCATCATTTCCCTTTTCTTTTTCTTTTCTTGACAGAGTAGTTTGGCTAATTTGAAGATAGAGTTAAATGTAATTAACTGGCCCCCTAACAACAGCGTGGCAATTTAATTGGTAAGATTCCCTGTAGGGAAGGCGTTTAATTAGAATGATTGAATCCCTATGAGGAAGCCACTGTCAGTGGCAAACCAAAACTCCTTTGCTCAGCACTTGCACAGTTTTAGTTTTGCTTTCTCCCTTGTTTAAATGTTCTTTATTCCTCCAGGGATGACAGCAAGCCGTCCCCCTGTCCCGCAACCATCAAACCCTCCTGGGCTTTAAGTACTGGGGAAAGTCTGGGTAGACATTAAAGCCAGTGGCAGGACTCAGAATGGAGAGTGTATTATCCAGACGACCAGATGCTGAACACTCAGCTTGAACCAAACTCGGCTAAAACCTGAGCCTGTCAGAAAAATCTGGCTCCAATTGTGAGTACTCTGTCCCGCTGAAAACTCTGCCACATGTGCAACTGCTGAGCCTCATAATTCGAGAGGGCTTTTAACATTCATCAACTAAGAGGTGAAAGAGGCACATCATTTAAGCATCATATTTTGAAGAAATACCTTAATACACTTTTAACTCTATCTTCTGCACTTCCTTACGGTAGCCATGGGTCTGCCTGAATGTTCTCAGTGCCACAGACTCCATTTTAATATTGGACTTCCGTACACACATCCATCAGCTGAAAAATAAGTCCACTGCATTCCTGGATTCATTATCACAGTGAGCACAGTTCTAAGAGACTCTCTCTTAGGCAGGAAAAAAAATAGAGAGTAAAGTATTATGGAAGAAGCCCAAAAACAATTGAAGTATTTGCATAAGTACTAGGGCACATGCCCTGGTAACACATCAGATTCCCTTCTCTCCTCCCATTGCTCTTCGGTAAAGCTCTTCAAACACTAGCTAAAAACCCAGCAGGACTGGAGAACACATGCTGGGAATACCAGAGCCTTTCAGAGCAAAGGCCAGACCTAAATGCTGCCATCCCTTTGGTCCCGTGGAACCAGAGATACCTTGACACTCTGAAGAGGTCTCAGATCCCTGCTGTTGTTCTAAGAGAGCATACAAAAACCTATTAAAGGTGAGGTCCCACTGTGCGAGGCACCATCTCTGCAGACTGCCAGAACTGCTACCCTAAAACCTGTGTAACCAGTGGTGCGTTGCTGTGAGCCCTAAGAGTCAAATTTGTATCAGCAGAACTAGAAATAGATACTACATCTCCCAGCTCCCACTCCAAGGGCCAGGGGTCTATACCAGAGGGATTTTTGAAGTTGCCTATTTAGCTATAAGCAACAGATAAGGCCTGGGTTTTTTTTCATGCTTACAGAGCTTTGATGTGAGTTGTTCCAAAATGCTGCAGTAATACGAGGAATATGAATAGAAAGAAGGCTGTGGGGACTTTTTTCCCCTTACGTAAAAATTTATCTGATGCATCAAGGAAGAAATTGGAAACCACTCAAATTCCCTGCAGAGAGAGAAAGTAATTATAAAACTAAGGATGCAGTGTGTGCACCCTGCTGACTATGACACAGTATTATTAGAAAAGAGAACACGTTATTAAAAAGATAGATCAGACTCAGAGCCATATGTGCCAGCCGACAGACAGACACTGCGTGTCTGTGCAACCACAGGCCTACTCTAGTAGCTAGATTCTGCAGTCTTTACTCAGAAGCCACTTTTCGTGCCAGCATCTCCAGACAGTATTTTGGCCCAAGCAGGGGACAGAAGGAAACATGCACACATGAACGCAACTGAGGTTCCCTTCCAGTCTGTGTGCTCAAGCATTAGGTGACAACAAACCTCATATGCACCAAAGCCATATATTAGTGGCAGATGTGGCAGAAGAACATACAGGCTGGTTTTTAAACAGGTTTCCTTAGCGGGCTCTGGCTAAATTATGTGAAAGTTAAAAGAAAGCCCAAGTGTGAGCCATGCAACACCTCTCTGTGCATTAAGAAGTGATGGCCCCATCTTACTGGAAGAACTCCTGGTCTGAGATAGTGCTTGTGTGCAAGAGGTGGTTGAGCCCCGCATGCGCAGAATCGCTCGAGCAGTTCATTTCTCCATCCTTTCCCTGCTTGGAGGCACTGAGCCGGAAGAGGCTGGAGCAACGCAGGGCAAGTTCCAAAGCATCCAGCCAGCATCGGCCTGTGAAAACAAAAGGAGTTCTTTAGGCACAGGAGAGTAAATAAAACAATTCATGCATTGCTTCTCAAAAGCCTCGTGCCTGGGAGTAAAGCTCATTATAATTCAGGAGGTCACTGTGTACAATAATCTATTTTTCATATATACAATCCCTAGGTTATCTCGCTAGAAATGGTGTTTTTAGTGGCTGCATGAGTGATACATCTGCACACGTGTTACAGTGGGAAGCTCACCCCAACTCCCCTTCCCTAATAGCATCTCCTCCTCTGATCTCCCACAACCTGTTTACATCCTCTTTTGTCCCTTTCTGATTTTGTCCAAGATGCAGAAAATGTGTAGAGGTACGGTGCTTTCAAACCATGTAGCAGCTCATGTCTGCAAGAAATACACCCAAAAATACATTCAGCATTTGGCATCATCCCCACCACACACACTACCCAATGGCAGGGAGGCACCGAGGCACTGTGCTGCGCAGGAGAGGTCCTGGCTTGGTGTTGGATCACCGAACTACGCGCTGGCTCAGGGGTCCTGCGCAGAGTGTAGTGCTGCAAAAACAATCACTCTGAACGAGAGCCAGGATGATCAATACTTGCCAGAGTGAATAAGACTAGAGGGAGCTGCTTGTCAGGCTGTTTATTTTCTCTCTTTCTCTGTATTTTTTCCGCTTTTCTCCATTTCTTTTCCGCGCTCAGTCCACCAGATAATCTGGGTGGAGCATCAGTTTTTCGCATATTGTCACAAAAGTCTTTACTGAAGGGTGTACCTTGCAAATACCAGAAACTGTAAGCATGGCACAGAGGCAAGACAAGGGGCAGTTCCTATGCACAGCCCCGCTGGATCTTCTGAAGACCTGCACGGGTCCCACCAGCAGGCAGCAAATGAATAGCACGGGAATCCGAACTGACCCTTGGCTCCTTTTGCAGTGATCCACACAAGTCTACAAAGCCGTGTGTTGGTGTTAAGGCCACCACAACGCTGGAGTCGCTGTGTTCTCGGAAGCACCTGAAAATAGCCTGCTTCTGTAGTGCAGTTATTAACGAGGCCAGGACACCTGCAAATTGGCTGAACACTCAAGAACTGAGGTGTCGAGGGAGTTATTCTCTAATTTCAAGCATGTAAAACAGAGCTCTTCATTACACTCCTCAGAATATATTTTGCGATAATTAGAAGAGTGCTTGAGAGGCAGTGAAGAAAACAAAAGGATTTTGCTTTAGCAATGGCAAGTGCTACAAACAGGTTTTCCCTGGACCACATTCGTTCCTAGGTCCCATTTGGGAAATGTTTCCGTTACATTCAATTCTATCACACGCTTAGCATCAAACATATGCATAAATCTCACTGGGATCCTGCTGTTTTCTTGGGCAGAATTCCCATCAATTTTGATATGACCAAAATTTGGCTCTGTAAGATCAATAAGAGTTTAAAAAAAGAAAAAAATCCAGTTCATATGTATATAAAGAAATGTTTACGAATTTGAGTAGCTTTCAGTGCTTGCTTTGATACAAAGCTGCAACCAGTAAAAGAGCAAAAAAAACACCAAAACTTTGAAGAATTGCACCGGAACACTGAGCCACAAACACCGCAGAACTCAGTCATTTATTCTAATTTCACCCCATAAATTCCTTCAGCATCAGCTTACAATTTAATAATAAAATCATACATAATAGTTAATACAAGATTAGGAAGGTTGAAGGCTGTTGGAATTGATTTCACACCATTTTGTATTTAACAAACATTCTTGCATTAAGGCTTCACATGAAGAGATTTATTCCCTTCTCCCCACGTGTAGGATTTGCATGGATAACCCATTAGAGCTAATGGCTGCACTGGGCACGAATCCACTCCCTCCTACATATCCCCCTCTTCCCCAAACCCATCAAGATGAAAACCTGTTTCAGGCTATTCCATGCAAAGGAGCACACTCCTGCTTAGGCTCACCTCCTTTTGACCTTCCTCTCTCTTTACCTTTGCTTCGCTTTTCCAGTTCTGCAGAGTGAGGATTGCATGATTTGACATTTGGAAATGCTGCATATGTCAAGATATTTTTATATGCAATGGGCTTGTGAAATCAGGTGCTTTGATAGGTAGCTTGATTTGGAGCAGCACGAGCCCTTTGGAACAGGAATGGAGGTCAGCTCCTCAGCTCCCCGCGGCACTCACGTGGAGGCTTTATCTTATGACGGTTATGCCAACGCACTGGCTACGTTTACGCTTTCTAACAAGGGTGGCCAGGGTGACTCCAAAGCCTCCCTCGGCCACATCCCTGGGGCTGTAGGCAGAACCCACAGGCAGCTCTCTTACTGTGCCACTGCCACTGGTACTAACGTGAGCTTGCAGGCTTTGTCAAACCTTCAGGGTCCACGTTACTAGAGGAAATTTCTACATAACGTATCTAGGTTTTTGATCTCCCTGGAAGGCGTTAGGAGTAACTCGAATCTTCTTTGAAACCTTATTCAAGGAAACTAAATGATAAAAAAAATTAAAATATTCATTTTAATATTGCGAGGCAGAGACAAAGCTTTAGCAGAACTTGCTGTGCATTAGCAGTCGGCGTTACTTATGCCCCGCAGAACACAGAAATGGCATCAGTGTACATCCTTGTTTTCATTTCTAACAGAAATTGAATTCAAGGGATATGCAGCATCCCTACGCTAAGAAAGGGGCCTTCCGCCATCAGGTGGTGCTGTGAATCCAAACAAATTTATGCCACAGAACCAGCCGTAAAATACGGGATTTCCTTTGCAAATGAACGGGTTACATTCTTTGAAAGTCAACAGTGTGTTGATTACAGCGTAACACCGTCAAATTATAGCCTCTCAATTTCAGAGATTGCACACAAGATAAACCTGTTTCCTTGCTAAAGGCCTACATGAAATGTTTTTACATTCGAGTGATCTTGCTATTGAGTAATATTCTTCTTTATTGTGAAAATGATACAAAAATGCTAGCATTTAGATTACTTAATTGCTTACCTGACACGTCTACTCACTCCCTCAGGAACTGCAGAAGGAGAAAAAAGTATGTGGTCACATAATTAAAGGCTGTCATCTACTGTCACGGTAGTCTGCATGAAGGCTTCATGGTTGCCTTAATTCTCACACTTTCTAATTTTGACTGGTTGACTCAAGTCAGGTTTTTTTGTATGTAAGATAATTAGATCAGAGAAGGATGCAAAACGTGGGTTCCTTCAGAGTGGAATGGCAGGCCAATATGATGCATATAAAGGAAGCAAAAAGGAGCTGTGCAGGAGTTACAATGGTATTCTTTTAGAAGGTTTGAGGTTTTTAAAGCTGCAATGTAACACACTGCAATCAATTTTCAGCTACAATTTTCCACAAATTGTGGCTTAAAACAAGCATATGTTTAAATGCTGAAGGAAAACCCCAGAGCATATTGTCAGCCTATGGCAGACTCTCCCCATAGGCTTTTAAGCTCTTTTTGTGTCAAATGATATATTACTCTATCCACCGCGACGATTACTTTTGGACAATTTCTGCAGAGATCATCTTGTCTCAGAAACACCTGCATTACCTACTTCTGCTTGGGAGCTGTGAACTAAGTATTCCCTTTCCGATGCTATTTCTGAGCTTGACCCTTTCTTCATTGTATTTATTATTTTGTCACTGACTTCCAAGGGGCAGCCTCCAAAGTAAGCTCTGGCTCTTACCTGGGCTGTAGAGGGGGAAGGATGAAAGAGGGAGAGAGTGAAATAGTCCATCTACGCGTAACGCTTCCACATATCTCGCAAGCCCCATAGAAGGGTTTACAAAACTTGGAAACAAATGTTTCATCCGAGCTAACAGAGTTCGCAGTGAGGATAATAACGGGGAGCAATGACACCCCATCCAGAGAAGATCCCCAACTCTGACGTGCAAAGTCAAGTCCAGCTAGATCACTCATACTGGCAGCCGGCATAAGGAGGACGTTTCACATTGCCCATTTTTCAGCACCTGAACTGGTCAGGTCGGTGGGTTGCCCAGCCACCTTTGGCTCCCTTCAGGAATGATGTTTCTTTGATAAGGCTGTTTCCAAAACACCAAAAGTGGATGTCCTATCAGAGTGCTAGTGCTAGCTTGGGTTTCTGCTTTCCTTTGTGGCAGCCTCTCTCCTTGCATCGCTCATTGGTTTCAATATCCGTTCCCTACATCACTTTGGCAAATGATGATCACAGCATTTGGCATGTGACAGATGTCCCAGGAAAGTAGGATGTCAGAGGAGCACATCTGCATATCACTCAGCTGTGCTCACTGATAAAAAGTATTAAAAAAACAAACCAGAAATGTCTCCCCTGAGTAGGCCTGTAACTCCTTCTCTGTTATATGTGTTTACAGTAAAATGACAACAGTCATCAGTGACAATTTGAAAAAGGAAACTCTTTGAAAAATTAGTTAAACACAGCTGGGTTCCAAAGTTCCTTCCTTCTTGAAAGGTTTGGGAAAAAAAGCTAGTAAATCACGTATCTTGCCTTGTCTTCGCAAAACCAAAGCTGAACACGCATCCCACGCATGTTTTGAAACCTTCCGCATGCTTTCTCCAGGCCCTTTGGCTCAGCAGGCTGAAAAAGCACCTTATAGTCCTTCGAGATGACTCCTGCAGTACAGGCGTGCAAATGGGAATCACTGCAACTCCTTGCAGGACGCTCCCCAGGTCCGCAGGCAACTGCTGGCACCATGTGGAAACCTGGTGGTTGCAAGGCTGAATCGGAGCATGCATGCACTTGCTCCAATGCTTTTTTTTCCCACAGACAAAAGGAACTACTAAAACCAAGTGACAAAACCCATTTCTTCTCCCCCTTGGAAAAAAAAACCAAACCCAAAACAACTGAAGGTTGCTTATGCTGCTAACCTGGCTCAGTTCAAGGACTAACTTGAGTCTGTCCTAGTTTTTGAACACACCTAAAATGACAACAATATCCCACAGAAAAAAAACCAGGCAGTATTGAAAACACTAAGCTACTCAGCTTTGAAATTCTTCACAGTCACCATCATTCACCTAGAACAACTCGTAATTTGCTGTGCCACATCTATCTGCCACATTTTGCAACAGCTGATCACAGAGGAGCCAGCCAATGTTCTGTCAGCACTCACCAATAACAAAAACCTGCTCAAGATGGAATCACATTGTTGCACACCGAAATCTCAGGCTGGGACTATACTTTTTTTCCATTGCATTCCTGTAGCTACAGAATGGCTGGAATGAATCTCTTGCCAGTTAAGGCTTCAAATGCCTCATACCTCGTAACCATACATTCCTCCAGAGAGGCATCACTATGGGAAAAATCATTCTTCTTGAATTATTAAAGTCATCCAGCTTTTGGCCTTGTGCCTCACACTCAAAAGAGAGATGCTTTTAAAAATCAACCTGAAGTAGACTGTCACCTGGAAATGATGAATTCTTGCTCAGCTGCACACAAATCACGAATGATGAGGAAGAGGCTGATTTGGTTCACCCAGTGAACATTGAGGTCATTGTATCCAGCTGACAGCTTATTTTGCTGTGCCACTTGGGCACCTACATGCATGATTTCTTACACTTTGGCTGCCGAGATGGAAGGATGCGATGTCTCAGCGAGCTGCAGGTGCAATTTATGCACCGAGCTAAATGAAGTCTGGTTGCAAATGCCTGGAGTTTAAACTGCTGTGAAAGGTCTAAGGACTATGAAGGGCAGACATAAAGCTAAGAAGGTAACTTCTATTTTTTCCAGTACTCTGCCAGGATCCAGTGATACATTTCATTGTGAACTTGGTTTCAAATTGTAATCTTCCTGGTTCATTGTTTATATACGTGACCCTTATTTCAACAATCTAATTTCCTCCCCTGATCAGAGCATCGATTTTGAGGGAAGGGATAGATAACACCACTGTAAGCCAGGTCATCAGGATTTCCACACAACTCCATCCACATCAGACAACGGAGACTACCCAAAGCATGCCTGAAGGAGAGGACAGACATGGAACAAAATGTAAGTGTGGTTTACAATTCCACCGTTAAGCCTTTAACCCTTGGTAATCTGTCACTTTGAATTCCCCTAGTAACCTCTTTGGTGGCAGTGCCTGTGGGCAAGGTGGACATCTGCACTACGAGATTTAAGCAGGTGACTCGAAACGCTTAGGAGGTCTGGGGCGCTGATTTGAAGATCTCAGGCGTGGCCCTAGAATGGTCCAGGCAGAGAGATCAGGATAGGTTTAAACTGCTAATTCTAAGCCACTCATCAGCATAAATCTGAAATGAATACACAGTCACTGGTTTGGAAAAAGCAATTTTCTTTTCTGAAACTGGTAAGAAAGACCCTGCGCTTATACAGGTTGAGCCCTATAGGCTGACATGACCTTCCAGATATCTTTAAAACACATCACAAAGCAGACTGCCGCTGTGGTCTGCGAATGTGAAATCTACCGTAGGTTGGCGGTGGTTCTGCAGGCTGTCCAGAAGTCAGGACCTTAAATCCTACCAGCAGTCTGTCACAGATGGTACGGCAGAGGGGAAAAAAGGGATTCTGAAATGCTGAGAGAAAAAGTAGGCCATGTAGCTGCTGATCATGATATAGTCGCCTGGATAGCAGAATGGTACATCTAACATATGCTGCAACTCAATATTCCCCAACAAGTTAGAGGCCTCCATGAATTACTGTTAAATTTGCCAAATGTTCTGGTTCATTTTGCACTGCTAACATGGGATACTGCGTTAAGAAGAACACGGTCAGGACACCTCCTCAGAGATGCTGTAGATTCACTCAATATTGCATTTACGGAGGAGACGTGAAGATACTACACATGCTGCTAACACAAGGGAACAGATTCCACCTGCCCCACTCGTGTCAGCTAGCTTAGCTCATGTTATCCTAATCTCCGGTCTCTCTTGACCATAACTGTATCCTCTGTGTTTGTCCAGCGCGTTAAAGAAATGAAACAAGCTCAGGGACACCCTCTTGAGATGCCTCTTTACAATGGGTAAAGCTGCGTAACAGTCTACAACCATTTCAGTAGCGTCTTCTGGGCTTAAAATCAAACTGCGTTAATTGCAAAGCACAAACCTTAATTTGCTGCAGTTGGTAAAGATTTTGTTAAATCTAACAGTTCCTCTTCCTAGTGTCCTTGTCTGCACATGTTTTACACCACCTACTGACATGAACACTGTTTCCAAGTCCCCCATCTCTGAATGTGACACCCACGCGTTTGGCCGTTTGTCAACATGTCCGCCCCACTCCATGGAGGGGGTACCCCCAAACTGCCCCCGGGAAGGCTGAACAAAAGGAGCACGGCACAGCCGCCGTGCCAGGACAGCTCTTGTGTTTGGGGGGGAGGCTAGCCTGAGTGTTCGAGCTGTTCTTCCCTCTTGTCCACAGATTCACATCCTTCCCTTTCTGCACAAGGCACAGCCACTTCTCACAGCTCACTGACCTCAGCTGTGAGGTCAAATACTCTCAGTTAGCTAAAAATTAAACCATTCTTCATGCTAGTATTTCTGGTGCAATACTACATCAAACTCTTTTGTGACGTCCACTGCTTTAGCACTGCTTCACGTCAGCTATCACAGTCACCTCCTCAGACTCTCAGAATCCACCAGGCATAATGTGGGTGCTCCAAATCTGTGCAGGTGGCTCCAGGGCATTGCTAGTGCTTTTCAAGATATATTATTTTCAATAATACATTATTTCATCCTTAACCAAAAGCCCTAGTTATTTTCTATGTACACATTTATGATATTTGATTGAGAGGTATCCCAGTTCCTCCTCCTCCTTCCCTTGATCACATTAGCTTTCCATCTAACCTTAAGATCCTACTGTAGAGAAGCAGCAAAGTAAAGAAAAATCATACTAAATCCTAAAGTAACTCTACTTTGATCTGCCTGACCTCTGCATGCTTCCCAAGAATCTTGGCCGATATCCTGGCTTTAAAAATACATTCCAGTAATTCACTATTTTAAGCTCTTCTGATACTCAAGATATGTAATAATTTGCTGGGCAAAAAGCTTCCCAGAGACATTTAAACATTCAAAATTCTCATGTGCCAGATATGGTTCCTTTCGTGCTTTTTCAGCACGTGGTTTATGACCCAGACAATGAGATCACACTAGAAAAGTCTACCCTCTGATGATCTCTTAAGAGCTATTGCTAGCTTTGGAGCCTTTATGGGTAAGGTTAGTTGGAACAAATCTAAAGCTGCTCTACTCCACATAACCGGTGTATGGCAGTCATCATAAAAAGACAGAGTGGAAGTTTTCACCCACAGGTCTCTTTGCCAGGCTGGCTTTAAGGTTTAATCATTAGGTTTCCACCAGAACAAAAGTTTTCATTTAGAAGATGGCTGAAGTGCCAGAAAAAAAGTACTTTATGAGACAGCAATTTGTCTTGAACACATACGATGACCACATTGGTCCCTTGGCGCATTTTCTAATTAAGTTAATGGAAAGACGAGTTACATGGATCTCTAAGGAAACAATAATTTAGAAAATCTGGATTTACAGACAGTTGTTGAAGCTATGTGGTTGCCTCAGAACTCTGTGGGACTGTTCCGTATATCTGTTCTGCAGGCTGACTGTATAACCAGGGTTTGAAATGCCTGTAATTTAGCAGCTCTACTCCAACAGCATTTTTTTTCCCCCAGAGACTATTGTATCAATCTATCCCTTTCCAGACAGCTGGTATTTGGAACCACGTTGGAATCCTGTATTCCTTTACGCAAATAAGCTGTACTGCTCCTTAAGCTACAAAAGCATAATATTCAAAGGAACAGATGTGCTTCTATGGCTTTACACAAGTCCCACTTATTTTCATATCATATCACTACACTGGCATCTGCAGGCAGCTTTCAGTGTCGAGATGGTACCTCTCACTATGAACAGCCCTCTTGGCACAGTAGTAGGAAGAACAGCACGCCAAGCCTGCAATGAAAGAAGGTGTCCTCCTATTCTAAGTGCCATGTCTAAGGTGCACTTGGCATTGTACCATTTCCAGCCTTTAGGAGTATGTAAAACTTCGTCACTGGACCAGAAGGGCACTGCTTTTAAAGCCCACTGTGCTCCATAAAAGATCCTTGTGTCCTTAAAGTTACTTTAAATGAGACCCAAAGGAGCACATGGGCTACATGAGCACCCTTGGTGGGGTAGGTGAAAAATATCCATAAAATGAACAGCCTGGGTTAATTTACTATGGCAAAAAAAATTCAGTGGTCTGAAGGTCAAAAGGAATGAAAACATGTTTTTAATCTTCTTATCTACTTATAAATCACTGATATTTTAGGTCCACTAAAGTAATTTATGGAGATTTTCACATAGCAGGCTGGCACGCCTGTTACATATTGACCTAAATTCACCTTCCATAATTTTGTGAATACCCAGAATGGTATTTTACCTGTGGAGTCACCAGCATCTGGGCCTGCTATACTGTAAACCATGGTACAGCACGTTTACAGGAGAATTCTGGTGGTTGAGAGACATTTTTCAAGAGTTCTTCAGTATTACTATGTCATTTTCCTCCAACAGATCCCTACCTAGTGTAAGACTTCAGCAGCTAACCCACTCAAGTCTCTGCTGAACTGAAGAAACGGTTAAGCCCCTCCCCTCATCCCAATTTTGTGATCAACTCCTTTCATCCCTTAGTATATACTGACAGTGTTTTTTCCCCAGCTACAAGCCTAGGTCCTTCTTCCAAACACATGGCCAGAAAGGCAGGTGTTCAGTGAGGGATACGAAATGAGCCCGTAGTCTGTTTGACCCATTCTGACCATTGCTAACGAACGGCATCTCAAGCTGAGTGAGCTGCCACTTTTTCCTTTACGTACCATTTTTTTTTTGCATCAACCTATTTTCTTAACTAGCACAGAGTATGCAATCTGGAGAAAGCAAACGAAGACCAAAGCTTACCATCTGATTCGGAGGCTGCTCTGAAAATCAAGTAGCTGCTGGGTAAAGGCTGAGTGATTGAACCAACATTTTCTCCCTTCGGGCCCTAGAAATGCACACAGACAAAAAGACGTAAGGCACACAAGATGCAACGGACCGTTCAGTGTCTTTCTACCCTTCCTGGGCAGAGTGTGTATGACTGTGATGGGAAAGAAGGAAGGAACAGATGGAGTAATTTAGAGAGACTCATTAGTAATCGTGATATTGCTGTGGCAGCTCCAAGGTGGTAATGAGCTCTGACATGTATGGGGCTTGGTCTAACCCATGCTCAGCCCAAAAACCTACTCTGTTTATTCAGATCCTCACGAATGGAAGAATCTCATTCCTGTCACTTGGGACAAAATCAGTCAAATATTTGCTATTAGCCATCTTGGTGGAACACCTGAACAGACTGTTCCATGCAGTGCATACCAAGTCTGTCTGCAGCCTGACTAGCAAAGAAACGCTCTTCACGTGTCACCATAACAGTGGCAGAGCCCACATCTTATGCTGTGAGTGCCTCTAGCAGAGAGGCAATGGTAGCTTTTCTGGAAGGAAGTAAAGGGGAAACTCCATCCTGCAAACCTGTCGGTGGGAAAGGAGACAGGCAAAACCACAGGCTGAGGATCAAAGGTGCCTCTCAGCAGGCGTATGTGCTGTTGCGTTGCAGTCCTTCACCTCTACATCCAGACCCTTTGAGGACCTTTATGCCGTGGTGCCTGGGGTGATGGCCATTTCAGGCTTTACCAAAAACAGGCTTTACTTGTTTATGTTGCCTTTAGGAGCTGTGGCAAAAAAAAGATTATAGTGTCTTGTAAACATCTTGCCACAATCCCTTCAGCACAACCACCCAGAAATGATTCCCAGGGAGACAGAGTCCATCTTGGATTAGGCACTTCTTCAAGTAGAACCACATGCTCCCACCTTGATCTCCTCCCTGTTTTCTTCTCTCTTGAGCTCCAGAAGCTGCTAAGAAAAAGCAGTTCCTGTACCTGGTAAGCATAGCTTCATACTCTCCATAGTATGGACTTTAGGCCATGACCTGGCTGAAATGAATAGGAGTCCCTCCTCCTCCTTTGCATTTCCAAAGCCATCCAGCCCCCTCCAGTTCCTTCCCTTCCTCAGGTCATAAGAAACAACATGAAAGCAGATCCTTTTTCAAATATGCAGATATCATGTCAGAAATAAATGGAGAGCAGAAAACATCACCAATACTCGCATGACGTATATGCATACATGAACACAAGCAGTTTTCTGCAGGATGTTCAAATACAGATTTCCTTGAGTTTCTAGAGAATACAACCCAGTGCTGAAAATCTGTAGACAAATTTTTCCAGTTTGAGTATGACTCTCCTCCCTTACATGGGCCTTTATAGTATCCCATCCTGCTCCTTGAAAGGACTTCTCCCTGGCATTAGTTTGTAAGCAGGGAAGCTGTGACTGCTGCTGAAAACTGCTCCTGTGTACAAGTGCCTGGTAGTTAAATGGTGGTTTTATCTGGATTTTTGTTTTTGAATTCCACTCAGGAAACTAAAATTTGGAAAAAAATGAAGAGTGCAAGCACGAGACAAGCATTGAATTGTAATTGAGTCTCGCCATGAAGATGAAGTGCTGAGAAGACAACAGTCTCCAGTCTAGCTTCTTGTCTTCACATCTGCAGGGAGATGTGAAGGAGACTTCACATCTGCTGTTGCCAGGAGAAACTGGGATCCTTGTTACTCACTTTTTTTTCTCCTTCTTTCTCCCACAAGAAGTTCACAAAATTAAGACTGTTTAAAGGCTTAATAGTCAGGACTGGCAAAGTTGAGATTTGATTAGCAGACCACAGCAGAGCAGCTCAAGACATTACTAGTGACATTAATGCAATCAGGGATCATTCCCAACAGCATTTTTCCTTTCAGTAGCTTGCAGCTGAGCAGGGTGTTGGAGAACTGTTGATAACATCATTACTTGTTTTTCAGTGCAGAGGTTGATGTTTGCTCTGTTGGAGGAAAAACCCCACAACCAAACAGTACGGATCCAGAGAACCATTATTAAAAAAAAGGGGGAGGAGGGAAGAAGGGGATAACACAAGGTTTTAACAGACGTTTAGGCATGTGAATAAACACAAGAAGAAGCCAGGTCACTCTGTCAAGGAAACATATTGAATAGTAATTCATGCTCATACATGGAGGGGACTGTTTCCCACAGAAAGAGGAGAAGAGGAGGCCAACATCTAAAGTCAACATCTCTACAGAGTAAATGAGGTTCTGTATCTGCACAGCAGAGATAATGATGCTTTCTGTCTCCCAGCCTTTTGAGCATCATACCTGTTCAGAGTCTAAGACCTCCAAGATAATGACCATCTCTCACTAAATGTGAATGTTATCCCTGCTACACTGGGATCTGGAGCTCAGCTGCAGCCTCTGGACAGTACAACTAAGAAAGGATCATCTTCAGATCATTCCTGTCTTTACATTTGGTCTGAGACACAAAAGACATTATCAAACAGGGGTTGATTAGGCTCGGAAAAATGGAGTGGACTCACATTGTTTTAGTGTGACAAGACATTCAGTCTTAGAAAGTCATAAAACAAAGCTTGAAAAAGGGGAAAAAGTCCCTTTTATAAACAGTACTGTGGGTAATCCTAAGGATGAAGATGAAACTAACTGTGCTATATTATGGAGCAGAATAAACAACTGTAAACGAGCAGCATGAGCCCCTTACTAGAACTTCTTTCTTTAAAGGAATGACTCAAAGCTCTTAAAATCATCAAAATTAAAATTATATATATTCCCAGATTCAGTGGGTCTGACTCCAACTCATTGAATAATCTAAATACCTGACAGGACGAGCTGCAGTCAACAAAAGCCTTCCCACACCACACTGTTCAGCTAGCTTCTTAGCAAGCTCAAAGGGAAACACAAACTATTGCAGGACATTTATTTGGGACAGCTGGGCAAACCTTGCCAGCACATAGCCCTATGCTCCCTCTGTGGAGCAAGAGGACAGACACCTGTACTCTCACACTAACTGCTAGGTTGGCATTCCCCGGCCTCCTAGAGTCACCCTGGCAAAAAGCCTCTTTGCTGAAGCAGCGTAGGATCACGCTGCCTTCACGTGATGGACAAAGGGCCTCTGCGGCAGTATTTGGAACATGCAGGAGAAGCTTTCCTTACTGCTGCTTGAGCTGCTGACTGATTTTGAGACCTTGGTCGTTTTGGCCTAGGGTTTACGAAGGCCTGGGCAGAGCAAAAAGGTAAAAGGTCTAATCCATTTGCACTGTGAAGGCGCTCCAGGCTAAACTGCTCAAACATCCAGGGAAGCAGTGCAGAATAAAGGACTTTCTCCTCTGGGAGATATGCTTCTAAAACAGCTCTAGGCACTGGGGAGCTTTATAGGAAAAACAGTTCCCTGGTGTACATATATGAGCAATGGTTTTATGTCTTACTTACCTATCATTTGAAAGGCACCTCAAGATTTCCTCCTGGTCCAACTGAAGCCAAATGACTGCACATCCCATTTAATTGGCTAGCACAACTATCAATGTCTCTGGCAGTGTTTGAACCAGACATTTGTTCCAGGGCTGAACCCCACAGTTAGATCTAAACATCTGCTGAGCAGCCAGGCCAACACATACAAAGGTGCTCATTAATTACCCTGAGTTATTAGCTGGAAGTCCACCGATGTGAGCCAAAACTGGACCACCAACTCTAGTCTGGAAAATCCTTGAAAATGTCATGAGCCATTTTAGCCAAAAGTGAAAGTTGTTTAGCCAGATCTTATTTCTGTCAAGAGGACCAGAACTTGGGCTTTTTCCTTAAGCTAAGGCTAATCTATATTTCATGAGAAATAGGCTTTCTTTGCAGTTATACATAACCAATTCACATTAGTCAACTCTGCTCCAGTTGCTTCAAAAGAAGGCTATGAGGTGACACAAAATGAAACAGTATTTTTAGCAGTTTCAGCCTTAAACTGTTGTCAGAGCGCAGACAGCTTCTCTGACATCAAGCAGTTTGCTGGTGGATTTCTTCTTGATGTGTATTTTGGTGTTCACCTTGTTGCTGAAACCATCTATCACACATAACAACCCAGGCTGAACTCAGGTTTCAGGAAATATCCCACCATGCAGCTCAAATGTAGCTCTCTAAATATCTGTCTCAAGTGACTTGGAATATTACTCTGACTTTATACTCGAGTCTCTTGAGACTTCCTTTAGTACACAAATATTTTCAGAGATATATTCGCTTCACATTTAATATACTAATTCCTATTTCTGTCATATATTTTCTCAAGAGACACAAGAATTAGATATACACACAAACATGCAAAGACAAATGCACAGTGATGAAGACTCCGCTTTCTTTTGGATGATCCATTCAAAGGGAAGGGCATTCTGGCATAACACTTCAAATCTGTCAGCAACAATACTTTGCAGTACCTGACCATAGTTTTGATTCTACTTTTTCACTACCTCTCCTGACGGTATTCTTCAGAAGAATTCAGTTGACCTATCAAGTCATAAAAGATTTTTTGTTGATGGGCAGCAAATGATTGACAGCCTTCTTAGGTGCATGCTCTGAATTAAAAACACATCAAAACTCTCAGAACTGAATAAGAAGCAAGACAGCAATGAAAACTTCAGACTTAAACCAAAAGCACTGCATCCAGGCACAGATCAGAGCTCTTACCCCTGTTTGGTGAGGTTAATTTTAATTCTCTCCTCCTACCTTATTAAAAATTGCAAGACTTTTTATAGTGATTGTATAGCTGTGTTTAAAACTGTTCAATTAACTGCAGGGATGAGCAGGAGTGAGGCTGCTTGACCTGCTCCCACAGGGCTTCCTCTCCATTTTGTTAGATCTTCTGGTGCCAATGACAAATGCCTTCATCGCTCTCGCATGAGTCTTTCCAAGTAGATTTACTCTGCCGAGCACCTTGCAGCAAGGCAGTGGCTTGTAATGCCTTGCTTACACTGGTGACGTCTCCTAAAGAATTTATGCCTCCAATAACTCTGCTAAGTCACTGTTTTTAATGGGGAAACAAGAGTTCAAGAACATTTAAGTTTTGACTTCAGGGTATCACACAGATGTTGCTCTCAGTGCCCCTCAGGAGGTACTGGGGTCTTCCTCTTTGCTTATAGGTGTTAGATTATTTTTTTTTCTTTTTGCCTATTCTTAAAGGAAAGAAGAAAAAGAAATGCAGCTCTTCAAAATTTGCAGGGAGTTATTTCAAGAAGTGTGAGATACTATTAATCATTTGTGTTACAGGGAGATCCAGAGGTCTCAGCGGGACCTACTGTGTGTACAGGAAAAGACTATCTTAGCCTGTGAGTAACAACAGACTGAAGAACCCAAAGCGAAGGAGAAAAAACCTTGCTAGTTCTATTTCAAAGAAGAGAAAACTAAGGCAACCTATCCAAAGTCACACTTTTGTGGAACAGTCAAGCCTTGAGCAGACTACTGAGTTCCAGGCCCATTGCAAACAAACACAAAACCTCAGAGGCATTAGGAAAAAAAAGTCAAATGAG